TAGAAATAAATTTTAGGTTGAACAATCTCTTATGTTTACCTAGTCTCCATTTTGATACCTGGAGATGTCTATTTGGAAGTCAAACTTCCACATAATCATTCACTCAGGAAATGAATCAATATACATCCACCATAACAACTGTTTTCTGAGGACACTTTGTACCTGGCAGGAGGTGAGTCCAGATTTTACATATTCTCCAATTAGCAACACTCCAGCCAACTCTGTTAGTGGGGATATCATAAATCATTAATTGACTATATATATATATATAATATATAATTTTTTTACTGTTCAAATACATGTCTCCATTTTCCCACCACCACTTCCCCTGCACCACCCATCCCCAGCTCCCACCCTCAATCCTTCCCCACTTTGGCTTTGTCCATGAGTCCTTTATACATGTTCCTTGATTTGACCCTTCCCCTTCTTTTCCCCGTTACCCCCTCCCTCCTTCCCTCTCATTACTGTTGATTTGTTTTTCTTTCAATGTCACTGGTTATATCTTTCTTGCTTGTTTGTTTTGTTGATTAGGTTCCACTTATAGGTGAGATCATATGGTATTTGTCTTTCACCCCAAGGCTTATTTTGCTTAACATAATGCTCTCCAGTCCCATCCATGCTGTCACGAAGGGTACTAGCTCTTTCTTTTGTTCTGCTGTGTAGTATTCCATTGTGTAAATGTACCATAGGTTTTTGATCCACTCATTTACTGACGGGCACTTAGGTTTCTTCCAGCACTTCGCTATTGTAAATTGCGTACCTATGAACCCAATTCATATTGGGGTGCATAGGTTCTTTTGAATTGGTGTTTTGGGATTCTTAGGGTATAATCCCAGCTGTGAGATCACTGGATCAAAAGGCAGTTCCATCTTTAGTTTTTTGAGGAAATTCCATATTGTTTTCCACAGTGTCTGCACCAGTCTGCATTCCCACCAACAGTGTACTAGGGTTCCCTTTTCTCCACAATCTGACCAGCACCCATTGTTTTTTGATTTGTTTATGATGGCCATTCTGACCAGTGTGAAGTGGTATTTCATTGTGGTTTTAATTTGCACTTCTCTGATGGCTAGTGATGCTGAGCATCCTTTCATATGTCTCTGGGCCCTGTGTATGTCCTCCTTGGAGAAGTGTCTGTTCAGGTCCTTTGCCCATTTTTTAATTGGATTGTTTGTCTTCCTGGAGTAGAGTCATGTGAGTTCTTTATATATTTTGGAGATCAAACCCCTATCTGAGGTATCATTGGCAAATATATTTTCCCATACAGTTGGTTCCCTTTTCATTTTGCTGATATTCTCTTTGGCCATGCTGAAGCTTCTTATTTTGACGAAGTTTCATTTGTTTATTCTTTCCTTTCTGTTTCTTGCTCTAAGGGACATATCGGTGAAAATACTGCTTCATGGAATATCTAAGAGTTTCCTGCCTATGTTCTCCTTTAGGACTTTTACGGTATTGTAACTTATATTTAAACCTTTAATCCATTTCAAGTTTATTTTTGAATATGGCATAAGTGAGTGGTTGAATTTCATTTTATTACATGTAGCTATCCAGATCTCCCAAAACCGCTTGTTGAAGAGGCCATTTTTACTCCATTTTTATGCTTCTGTCCCCTTTGTCAAATATTAATTGACCATAGAGACATGGGTTTATTTCTGGGCTCCCTATTCTATTCCATTAATCTATGTTCTTATTCCAGTACCAGACCGTTTTGATTACAGTGTTCTTGTAATATAATTTGATGTCAGGTATTGTGATTCCTCCTACTTTGTTTTTATTTTTCAAAATTGCTGTAGCTATTCAGTTCAGTTATGGTTCCATATAAATTTTTTAAATGTTTGTTCTACATCTGTGAAGTACGTCATTGGTATTTTAATAGGGTTTGGGTTGAATCTATAAATTGCTTTGGGTAATATGGATATTTTAACAATGTTAATTCTTCCAATCCATGAACATGGTATATGCTTCCATTTATTTGTATCTTCCTTAATTTTTTTCTTTAATGTTGTTTAGTTTTCTGAGTACAGGTCTTTTACCTCCTCGGTTAAGTTTATTCTTAGGAACTTTAATTTTCTTGTTGCTATAGCAAATAGAGAAAGAAGGAAAATTCTCAACAAAGTATTGGCAAACTGCATCCAGCAATTCATTAAAAAGATCATCCACCATGATAAAGTAAGATTCAAGCCAGGGATGCAAGGATGGTTCAATATTTGCAAATCAATAAATGTAATACATCACATAAACAAAAGGAAAAACAAAAATCACATGATTATATCAATAGATGTGGAAAAAACATTTGATAAGGTACAGCACCCATTTATGATAAAACACTTAGCAAAGTGGGAATAAAGTGGCATACCTCAACATAATAAAGGCCATATATGAAAAACCTACACGCAACCGCATACTCAGTAGGTGAAAACTAAATGCTTTCCCACTAGGATCGGGAACAAGTTAAGGAAGTCCACTTTCACCACTTCTATTCATAGTATTAGAAGTCCTCGTTATAGCAATCAGACAAGAAAAAGAAATAAAAGGCATCCAAATAGGAAAGGAGGAAGTATATATCATGTTTTTATGTGACTGATTTTTTTACATGAGAGAATATGCCAAATACATTAGTGTACATGAAGAACATATGAAGAAATAATGTAAATCTTGAACAGATAAGTCACAAAGAAGAACTGATTTCTATGTACTTATTCTTGTACCTATCAGTGAGTATGAGTATTGCAATTGTTAGAAACTTTATTTGGAATAATCCTGGGCTCGCTTATATGGCACTGATTGAGAAATTAAACTAAAATTCAGTGTATCCATGTGTGACAAAGACAAATCAATCTTTGCTTTTCCAATTGTATAATTTCTAGGAACTTGTATTATTTTTACATTGACATTATAACAAAATTTTTTATTTTTTGGTAATGTTTATATTTTTGATAATTTATTAAAAGTGATTATTATTTTTAAGTTATAAAAACTGATAGTATTCTTTGGGATATTATGCTCAAAACACTATAGTATGATAAATTGACAATATAATGGTGCTATTTTTAGGAATTTTGATTTTGGGCATTATATTTTCTAATTTTAAAATATTCCTAAGGCCCCTTTCTTTCTCCAAATACCACTTGTAACATTTAAAGACACTTTATCACTGTTTTGTAGACATTAATAGGGCTCCAATACAATACCTTTATTTATTTATTTATTTATATTTTTTTGAAACTCCATTTTGTTTATCAGAAATCTTTATTGGACAAATCATGTAGTAGTCATTCTAGGCATCTTCCAGATTACATGAGTGTTTCTCTTTTTTCTTTTTATTTTACTTATTTTTTTTATTGTTCAAATACATTTGTCTCCACCTTCCTGCCACCACTTTCCCCTGCCCCCTTCCCCCAGTTCCCTCCCTCAACCTTTTCCCATTTTGGCTTTGTCCATGGGTCCTTTATACATGTTTCTTGACTTGACCCTTCCCTTCCCTTTCCCCGCTGCCTCTTCCCTCTTGATTCTGTTGTTTCCAATACAATATCTTTATTTATTTATTTATTTATTTTGAGAAAAACAATGTTTTATTATTGTGACTTTATCATGAATTATTTTTTTATTTTTATTTATTTATTTATTTATTTATTTTTAAATTTATTTACTTTTTAAATACATTTGTCTCTGCCTTCCCCCCACCTCTTTCCCTTGCCCCCTCCCACCTTCCCTCCCTCAGCTCTTCCCCTTTGGTTTTGTCCATGAGTCCTTGCTATATGTTCCTTCACTTTCCCCTTCCCTTCCCTTTCCCTGCCCCCGCCTTCCCTCTTGTCTCTGTTGATTTCTTTTCCTTTCAGTGTTGCTGGTCATATTTTCCTTGTTTCTTTGCATTGTTGGTTAGGTTCCGCTTATAGGTGAGATCATATGGTATTTGTCTTTCGCCCCCTGGCTTATTTCGCTTAGCATGATGCTCTCCAGTTCCATCCATGCTGTCGCAAAGTTTAGTACTTCTTTTTTCTTTCTGCTGCGTAGTATTCCATTGTGTATATGTACCATAATTTTTTGATCCAATCATCTACTGATGGGCATTTAGGTTGCTTCCAACACTTGGCTATTGTAAATTGTGCTGCTATGAACATTGGGGTGCATAGGTTCTTTTGTATTGGCGTTTTGGTGTTCTCAGTGTATAGTCCCAGCAGGGGAATCGCTGGATCAAAAGGCAGTTCCATTTTCAGCTTTCTTAATTATGAAAGTTACATAAATGCAAGGTGATCATCTTTAAAGTTTAAAAAGCCAAATATAAAGCACAGAAAATATATTCCATTGGAAAATGTGCTGGCATAATTACTGTACATGTTAGGTGAAATCCTAGGAAGAATCATTACAGTAATTACTCAAAGTAGTATTAAATAACACAAGAGATTTTTGGTCTTATACATCAATTTAACTGTATAGTATCTACAATAATAGATCAGAGCTAAGGTACATTTGCAATTTCTAACAGCAAAAGTAAGTTTGCAAATACTCTGTATACTTCAATGAAATAAGAAAGTAGATTAAGGATAAAAGGTTAGACAGTCTTATCAACCAGTACACCTTTTAAAGATAATTTTTCAGGGCTGCTAAAATGAACAACAAATAAAGGCTTTCACATACAATACTAAACTGTTGTACTAGAGCCAGTACAGCTGATCCTTGAAGAATGTAGCAGTTAGGGGTGCCCACCCCCGAGGAGTTGAAAATCCATAGAACTTCAGTCAGCCCTCCACATTCACGGATTTCCAAACTTTGATAGAAAATACTGTTTTGGACCAATGTTGGTTCAATCAGTAGATGCACAACCCAGGAATACAAAGGGCCAACTATTTATCTACTGAAAAAAAGAAAATGATGCATTTAAGTGAATCTGGCCAGTTAAAACCTGTGATGTTAAAGGATTAACTGAATTTTTATTTGTAGAGTTTTCAAATCAAAAGGTAACAAATAATTATACATCATCATGGGAAGGAATACGCCAAATATTACTTCACAACTGCCACTATGTGTTTCTTCTCCTCTGGCACGATTGGCACAGATCCAGGCTTGCTGTGTTTCAGACGATTCACTTCCTTTCGTCTACGAGCTTCTTTCATGACGCGCTGTTCTTGAATCTGACTGTAGATTGGTTTTGGTAGATGTTGGTGACGAGCAATATATTTTATTTGAGGATGATGCTGAAATTTCTCCTTTAACTTCTGGTTATAATCTTTGGCTGCCTTTTCTCGCGATGTAAACACACCCAATTTTTCAGAAGCATTAGCTTTCAAGAGACGAATGTTCATTTCATCAGATCCACACATGATATACTTGCTGTCAGACGTCCATTTTACACAGATAACATGTTGCATTTTCTTTGTGTGATACACTTCCCTGCTCCTACTTTTGTCCACAGGGAAGATGCGAATAGATTTATCAAAACTAGCGGACACGAACTCTTTCCCAGTGGGAGAGTAATCCACATCGAGCACTGCAGACACGTGATCCATGTGCACCATTACAGGAGTGTCCAGTGCATGCATATCAAAAGTATATAAGTTGTAATCTTCATTTGCTGCAGTGAAAATGAAAGCTTCCATAGGCTTCCAACTAATCGTGTTTGTTCTCATATCTAAGATGACCTTTTTCAGAGGAGTAGCTTGCCTCATATCATATAGTACTATATTTCTGTCAGAAGCACAACTTCCCAAGGGAAATGTCTCAGTTGGGTTAAATTTAACACTACATATACTGTCAAATCCCCAAGTCATTGAATATATAGGGCTGATTCTTTGTTCATCCCAAATGTCTACTTGCTGTCCACATGTGGCAAAAACAGCTTCTTTCCAGTGATGATCAATTCCTAATTAGACATTAAATATTCCTAATTAAATATTAATTTAAAATAATTACTTTCCAAATTAAATATTAGGAAAGACAGTGTATACTGTCTTTCCTAATATTTAAATAAAGTCATATGTCAAAGGAGTTTTAATGAAATGACTGAGTTACTTCCACTCATTATTTTGCCTTATCAGTGTAGTAAATCCCATGGTAGATCTATGTAGGTAGATATTGTAAAATATTACCCCAGGGCAATAATAAAGGTAGGTAAGATTGTGTGGCTTCAATTCTTTGCATTGCCACTTACTAACTTTTTGGCCTTGAGAACTCTTTCTTAACTTACTAGTGTTTCATTTGTCCTATCAGTAATTTGTGGTAATGGTACCTACCTTACGCTGTTGTTTTGAAGATCAGATGAGTTATTTAATGTGTCTGATACATTTTAGACACGATACATGTTAACTATGTTATAATCCAGAGGGAAGTTAATAAAATATTTGATTAATTAACTAATTGAAAAATACTTATTGTGATTTTTCTTAATACCAGATTCTCTTTCAGGTCCTGTTCCTTCACTTAAGAAGTTCATAGTTTACAAAAAAAAAAAAAAAAAAAATGGTCAAGATAAAGAATTTGATTAAGTGATGAAAAAACAGCTGGTTGATGGCAGCAGCAGGTCAGCCGCAGCACCAGGCGGCCAAGCTGCTGGGGGGCGCGGGGCTTTGACCTGGCAGGCGGCCAGGTGTCCACCCTCACCGTGAGCACCAGAGGAGCCTCCGTCTTCCCCAGCGCGCACCAGCACCAGCAGCGACACTCAATGTCGACATTGCCTTTCATTGAAAAGCGTCCTCGAGCTGTGGGGGCTGTAGAGTCAGGAAGGGGAAAGACGACATCGATCGGTCCAGTGGCCCAGCAGAACCAAGCCTGGAATCCGTGATATCATGTGAGTACGGGGCGGGAGGGTCGTGCACAGGCTCACAAGAGCAATACTGCAGATGGCTGGTTTCCTCCTTTGGGATGAAGACGTCTCATCTCGAAATCTGCCAAGGTATGGCTTTATTAAGGACTTTGCCCTTCAGGATATCCAGGAAAGCTTTGGGAATGTACTTAGACTATTCTTTTTCCAACTTTCAAATCACGGCAGCTGCCTTTATCCTTTCAAAGTCTTCCGTAAGCCAATTTTTGTGAAGGAGAGTGGGAGTTTTGAAAGCAATTTATCTCCATTCTTTGTGACTTTATTTAGGATTCATGGGTGATAGCTATGTTGCCTTAGCGCAGTTTAAGGCTTTTTTTATGTCAAATCAGTTGGATCATATTAACTTACTGAATACATTCTGTGTGTCAGACACTATACCAGGTGCTAGAAGTGTGGATACTTTACAGGAAATGATCTTTGCCCCCTAAAGTTCAGTGACTTGTGGAAAAGAACTCACATGTACTACCACTACTACTAGTAATAATGCACCTTTGTAATAGAGATATAAAAGTTCAAGTGCTATGGAAAGACAGAGGAAAGAACAACTTGGGGAAAATTCAGCTGATGCCAAGCGGGAACTAGAGGTTTGTCAAGAGGAGCACAGAGTGGGCTGCGGGGGAGTCCCGGCAAGGGACGGTGCTGACAGAGACGCCAAGGCACCCAAGAAATTGGCATTACTGGAGAACAAGGAAGCAATGAAATGACACTGAATGAAGAGTGAAGGGGTTAAGAAAGGGACCATTAAGAACATTGTTAAGCTTTAATTTAATACACCCACACAGAGGCAGGGGGACGTTACTCACCCAGACATGCGCGCTTACAGCAAGGCATGGGGCCAGGGGAGAGAGGACAAGAGGAAAGGGCTAGTCAGTTCAGTTGAAAGCTCAGCCACCCCAGTCAGGCCCCAGTTCTGTCTGTTTTTGTTAGGCGTGCGCTCCCGCGTCCCTAGGGGGGGCCCGCAGCCCAATGCTGCACCCCTATGCTGCATCCCTGGGAAGGGAGTGAGAGCCTAGGTGACCGTGGCTGCCTCCGGCGGCCTGTCCGGGTCCTTCTTGCTGCCTCGCAGTGGGAGGGCTAGGCCACACAGTTGTTCCTCTCTTTGTTTACCAATGTGTGGATTGCTCTTCTTGAATTGCTCTATGTATTCACTTTCATCGTTTTTCTAAAGTCATGGAGATTATTGAAAACTACACTTTAGTATCTGCAATGATGAAAACAATTGCAGTTTAGAACTATAACTTTTGTGTTAGGTTATTAAAATACCTAAATAATTAAGGTTCATCTAAAGCATGTCAAAGGACGAAGTCATGCTGTTTACTATATACAGTAAATAGTAGCTGATCAATATTCTTTGTAAGAAATAACCATATAAAACAATGTTTCCAGAAAAAAAACAACAAAAAACGCTGGTTCAGTGTTATGGGAAAACAACAAAAAAAGGTTTTTTAATATTCATCTGAGGACATCATTTTTTTCATTACCTTTAGAGAGTGAAGAAAGGAGAGTGGGAGAGAGAAAAACATCTATGGGAGAGAAAAGCATCAATTGGTTGCCCCTGGTATGCGCCTGGACAGCATTCATATGTGCCCAGACCAGAGATTGAATTTACAACCTAGGTATGTGCCCTGCCCTGGATTTGAACTCACAATCTTTCAGTTACAAGAGGATTCTCCAACCAACTGAACCACACAGGCCAGGGCAAAAACAAAAGAAATTTGACCACAAAACGGATTTTTTTTATTTTTTTCCATGTTGTCATAAAAGGTAGGAGTTCCATCTCCCCCTCTCTCTTCCTTTCTGTCTTTTCTTTCTTTCTTTTTCTCTTTCTTTCTTTCTTTCTTTCTTTCTTTCTTTCTTTCTTTCTTCTTTCTTTTCTTCTTAAATGCAGATTGATTTTATTTATTTTTTAAATGTCAGTTAATTATAAAATATTAAAAAAATTTAAAACCATTATAAAGTCTCAGCAATTAAACCAACATGACACGAGCACAGAAATAATTGAGTAGATCAATGAAATATAATGCGTATTCTAGAGACAAATGTATACATCTGTCTAACAATATAATATATGATTAAGCTGATATTTCAAATCAATGGGTAAAATAAGGCTTAGTTGACAAATAAGGTACATGGACCACTATTACTTGAAATAAAACAAATATAGAGCCCTATTTCACACATTACACAAGAAAAATTCAGGTGAGTTAAATATCAATATGTGGAATCTAAGGAGTTTTAGGAGAAAATAGAACTAATATTTTTCATGACCTGAAGTAAAATATTCAAACCCAGAAGCTATAAAGTAAATATTGACAATATGACTATATTAAACATTTAAGACTATATAGTAATATACTTATATAAAAAGTTAAAGGACAAGAAATAGAATAGGAAATTATTTGCAACACATCTAAAACATGATTAATAGGTTTCTTTTTTAAGGGAAAAAAGTTCTACTAACCTTTAATCAATAAATGGATAAAGAATACCAAAAAGTCATTTAAAGCTTTTTTAAAAATAATAGAAATAGACAAGAAATATACAAAAACAGGTTTAGTTTTAAGAAATAGCAAAGGAACAATTAAAATAACATCATTGTCACAATTAGATTAATGAGTATTAAAAATATTGGTAATATCAAGTATTGACAACTCTGAAAGGAAATGGATATCCATAGACTCTTTTTATTCATCTTAAAGCAGTCCCTTTAGCATATTTTGCAGTGCTGGTTTGGTGGAGGTGTATTCCTTTAGCCTTCTTTTGTCTGGGAAACTCCTTATTTCACCGTCCATTTTAATTGAGAGCCTTACTGGGTAGAGCAGTCTTGGTTGCAGACCTTTGCTTTTCATAACTTGGAATATTTCTTGTCATTCTCTTCTGGCTTTCAGTGTTTCTGTTGAGAAGTCAGATGCTAGCCATATTGGGGCTCCCTTATATGTTACTGCCTCTTTCTCCCTTGCTGCCTTTGGGATTCTCTGTCTTTGATATTTACCATTTTAACAATGATGTATCTTGGAGTGGGCCTCATTGGGTTCCCCTTGAATGGGACCCTCTGAGCTTCCTGGACTTGTGTGACTTTTTCTCTCCTCCATTTAGGGAAGTTTTCCATCATTACTTTTTCAAACAGATTCTCTATCCCTCCTTGTCTTCCTTTCCTTCTGGTATCCCTATTTTACGGATATTTTTACATTTTAGGTTGTCCTGAATTTCTTTAAATGCCTCTTCTCCTTTTTGAGTCTTTTTTCATGTTCTTGCTCTTTCTGGGAGTTTTTTTCTACCTTGTCCTCCAGCTCACTGATTTGATCCTCTGCTTCACGTAGCCTGCTTTTGATTCTTTCTACTACGTTCTACAATTCAGAAATTATATTCTTCATTTCCTCTTGACTCTTATTAATAGTTTCTATATCCTTTATCATGCTGACATAGTTTGCAATAAGTTCCTTGTAGTTTCCCTGTAGTTTTTCATAATTCTTTTTGAGTTCACTGAGCTGACTGAGCATTCTTAGAACCATTGTTTTGAACTCAATATCTGATAGTTTACTTGTCTTTATTTCATTTAGTTCTCTTTCTGGGGATTCCTTCTTTCCCTTTGAGTGGGGCTTATTTCTTCCCATTATTTGTGAGACTCTTCTTTTTTGCTTCTGATTCTTAAGTTGATCTGTCTTGATTTCCTGACTTTGCAGTGTGAACTTCTATGGTAGGAGACCTCTGTTTTTTCTTTTTGGATCTGCCTCTGATGATGTTAGCTGTTGACCCCATCTGACCTCAGGCTGTGTTTAAGAGACTTCCAGTAATCTACTGTCTGTGGCTGTCTCCTCCAGTTGTTAACCTAGTCACTCTGCTCTCTGCAGTCAGGATAGGGCAGAGTCCCTCCTGTGGGTGGGGCTATTGTGTCCTTTCAGACTGTTGCCACTCAGGGGAGCAGTCTGTCTGAGCAAGACGGCCACTGCCCTATGGGCAGGGAGTCAGCACTGGGATATCCCCAGCTACTCCCTCAGTCCTCTCCCCAATGCCTCTGTTGCCAGACTTTCCCCAGGCATCTCCAGACCACTCTGCATCACCTTTAGCGTGGGATCTACAATCTGAGACTGTCGCTCTGTACTCAGCAGTCTGGCTTGCCCAACACTGGGCTGGACAGTGCCTCCTGGGGGTGGCGCTGTTGTGTCCCTTCACGCTGTTGTCTCTCAGAGGAGTGGTCTGCCTGAGCAAGATGGTAGCTACAGAATAGGAGGTGAGTCAGCACTGGGACCTCACTGTTCACTTTCTCAGTTCTTTCCTCCATGCCTCCTTTCCCAGTCTCTCTTCAGGAGGCTCCTGCCCACTCTGCCCCCACCCCTGCCAGAGCACACAGAAAGTGGCTGCCACTACAAATTTTTGCATTGACCCTTTAAATGGCTCTTTGCATCCCCAGCCGCCTGTGTCAGGCAGAAAGCACACTGCTGCTTTTCACAGCTTGTTGTTATCTGTGTGCTCTTTGTTCTCTGGTGTGATAGGCTGGAGATCCCCACTTATGGTTTAGACCCTGTTCTCCTCAGGGGGATTCAACTGGCTGTTTCAATAACCCTCTGGTGCTGCTGCCTGTGGATGCCTATTCCATCTTCTTGAGCCTCTACCACACTTCTTATAGGTTAGGTTGTGCTAAAGCCAATTCCTCTGTTTGTCCAAGGTTTTAATTGTTTTCCAGGTGATTTCTCCACAATTTAGTTGTAATTCCAGATTGGTTCTGGGAGGAGGTCAGTTTGACTTCCACTCACTCCTCTGCCATCTTGAAATCTTCCCCCACCCACAAAGAAAATTTACATTAATAATAACAGGAAGTGGGCTGTAAGATCAGAATTTGGCATAACTGAT